GGGTGCTTGGGTCTTCACGTCGCTCTTGGGATGTGGGTCGGGCAAGAAGAAACCGGCCGTTCAGGGTGCTGGTTTTCTTGACGGCCAGGACTGAGCTTAACCCCGAGGATCGGCCGCGTGAGGCACCAGGAGCCCACCCGGCGCCGGGCGGGCGGGTCCATTTTGCCGCACAAGCCGGGCAATTGGCAAACTGCGGATGAGCAGGTCCACTTTCCTTCGGGGGTGAGCGGCCTGAGGTATGGGAGGGCGACGCCATTTCTCGACGGGGGCGGGCGGGTTGCGGATTGTTTCATGGCGGGGGAGACGCCGCCGAGTGGCGGAGCGAATGAGCACATGGCCGCTTGAGAGGTTCCCCTCCCCCAGTCTGCTTCGCTTGTCTGTGTTGTGCAATCTCCCCTTTAGCTAACTCGGCCGGGGCTCATTGTGCGCGAGGCTGCCACCGCCCGCGGCCTCCCACATCCGGGTACTGGGGAGGGGGGGGCAGGCCGGAGGGAGTGGGGGAGGGCGCGGGCGGCATGACGTGGGGGGAAGGGGACGGCCCACCCTCGGAACTCCGAGGTGAAGGGCGGGACTTCCGGTGGCCTTGATGCCGGGGAGGAGGCGCACACGCTTTGGTCCGCCTGGCTCAGGACATGTGGGTCTGGTAGAAGAGTCCGCAGCTCGGCGGCTTGTGTGTGAAGGCACAGCCCGTTGATCTTCACAGGAGGGTCACTCTGAAGTGCCTCTTGATTGTCCTCTGGGAACAAATGGGAGTTGGATCGGGAATGGGCTGCTTGCTTCCGTGCTCTACTCTAACAGGAAAACAAAACTAATGCTTTGAATCAACAGATCCAGAGACAATGGCCCTGACGGGATGGAGCCCGAAGGCGTCATCGAGGTGAGACTCCTACCCTGTCATGAGTTTTCTCCTTGTTTTACACGTCTGAAGCAAACAGGCGGAACTTCCTTATAGTGACAGTGACCTCAGACATCTAGAATGAGTTGACGAGCTTGGGTGGAGTGGTTGTGCAACTTTTGTATAAAACATGTTACTATCTTACTAAGTTTTCAATTTTTTGCTTCCTGCAGAGTAACTGGAATGAGATTGTGGATAGTTTTGATGACATGAATCTCTCAGAATCCCTCCTCCGTGGTATTTATGCCTATGGTTTTGAGAAACCCTCTGCCATCCAGCAGCGAGCCATTCTTCCTTGTATCAAGGGTAAGAATTGTCAGGGTCGATTTGGACTGTCCCTGACCCGGGTAGACTTTTAATGGTCGATGTCTAGCCTAGGTGGGTGTTTTAGTACCCTGGAGTCTGTTGTCACAATACCATGGTGACAAGAAGTTGGAGGTCCCAAGACTTTGTCTGCACCCTTGTTTCTTTACTAATACCATAAACTAGGGTTCTGAATGTCTATGAGCCCAAGCTCCTTTACCAAATGTAATTCTTGATCTCATTGTAGGTTATGATGTGATTGCTCAAGCCCAGTCTGGGACTGGGAAAACAGCTACATTTGCCATATCAATTTTGCAACAGATTGAGTTAGATCTAAAGGCCACTCAGGCTTTGGTTCTGGCACCCACTCGTGAGTTGGCTCAGCAGGTAAGAGTGGTTTCTTCCTCTTTAAATGGCAGCAACTGAAAGGGCAGGTGCATTTTCTGCCACTGCCGGCTGTTAAATCAGTACTTTAGAATCGTTAAGTGGGGTGGTAGCTTCTAGAGCTGTTGATCATCAGCAGGTTTTCTGCTAGCGAAACTTCTTTACCCAGTTCTTGGACAAAATGGGAAAGGGTGTGGAATCGAACTGGCTGGGCAGGGTCAGTTATTTTATGAAAACCCCTGGCAATGGGCAAAGAGACACCTTGGTGATGGTGTTGTTCTTATATCAGCCAGGGGCAGAGCAGATGGCAGTCCTTTGTTCATCCTAGCTTGATGCCTGGCTTGGTGGCCAAAGCTGTTTCATGCCTGGGGCACAAAATCCTGATGCTACTGTTAAGTATTATTTAAGCCTAGTGATTATTTTGAAGCATCTAGGTTTTGATAGAAGCAAGAAATTAGAATAAACAGTGAGGGTCCTGTATATCCAGATCATTGTTTTTGTGTTTTGTTTGCACATGGACTGAGGGTATAACTTAGTAGTGGAACATGTGCCCCACATGAGTGAAGTCTTGTTTTGTGGCAGGGCTGTAATAAACATGTTGGGCATGTCGTTGCATTCCTAATCCAGCCTTTGGGATGTGATGGTAGGGTGGAGGCTGTGAGTTCCACGCCATAAGGGCTGACCTGGGTTTTAGAGGGTTGCATGTAGAATGGAAAGCTTACTGTGAGTCTACGTGTTTAGAAATCAGGGCTGCCATTTGTGGTGGCAGTGTGGGATATTAAATTGACAGCTGCTTTTCGGCAGTAATTCAGTAAATGGCCTGTCAAAGCCCAAGCTAATGTAGATGTCTCTTTTGTGTTCAGATACAAAAAGTGGTCATGGCATTAGGAGACTACATGGGTGCCTCTTGTCATGCCTGTATTGGGGGCACCAATGTGCGTGCTGAGGTGCAGAAGCTGCAGATGGAGGCCCCCCATATCATTGTGGGCACTCCTGGCCGAGTGTTTGATATGCTTAACCGGAGATACTTGTGTAAGTACTACTTTACAGTTGTTGGGTGGCTTTCCCAAGTTTCAGTTCTTAGAATGTTAGTTTTCCTTTACTTAGAATTGAGTTGCTCTGTGATGAACCCCATGCGTGTCATCTGAGCCCAGCTTCCCTGTTGCTTTAGCCCAGGTAGTGTTCTACTTCCTAGGGCTGTTGTCTCACTTAGCAGGGAGGCCTTGGGCAAAGGATCAGTCCTTATATTCTGAGAGCGGATTGGCTGCCCCTTGGCTGCCCTCTTACCAAGAAACTTAGTTAAATATATTTTGCATTTCTTAACCATGATTGGTATTTTTTCTGCCTTCTAGCGCCAAAATATATCAAGATGTTTGTACTGGATGAAGCAGATGAAATGTTAAGTCGTGGGTTCAAGGACCAGATCTATGATATATTCCAGAAGCTCAACAGTAACACACAGGTAAGAAAAGCGGCAGTCTTCATGGGTTAAACGTAGCTTGGTTGTGGTGTGAGGAGAACAAAACACCCTTGTGACTGATCCATTTTCACCACTACTAACTAGGTAGTTTTGTTGTCTGCTACAATGCCCTCTGATGTCCTTGAGGTGACCAAGAAGTTCATGAGAGACCCCATTCGGATTCTTGTCAAGAAGGAGGAGTTGACCCTGGAGGGTATCCGCCAATTCTACATCAATGTGGAGCGAGAGGTGGGGCCCAGTGCAGGAGGCGGACCTGGTAGTAAGTTGTTGGGTATAGCCCCTGACTGATGTTTCCGGATCTCCAGGAGTGGAAGCTTGACACATTGTGTGACTTGTATGAAACCCTGACTATCACCCAGGCAGTAATCTTTATCAATACCAGAAGGAAGGTGGATTGGCTCACTGAGAAGATGCATGCCCGGGACTTCACCGTTTCTGCCATGGTAAGTTTTCTCAGAACTTATTAATAGCTATGTGCATGTGTGGTAAGTGTAGGTTGCCCAAAAGACACCTTGTGCTATTTGCTAAATCCTTATTTTTTAGCATGGCGATATGGACCAAAAGGAACGAGATGTGATCATGAGGGAGTTCCGGTCTGGTTCTAGCAGAGTATTAATTACCACTGACCTGTTGGTGAGTAGAGGCCAGTTTAGGGAAAGCAAGCGGGGGAGGAGTAAGTCCAAGGTGATTCCCTCTCCAGGGGGCTGACTAGTGCCCCTTTCAGGAACGTAGCAACTTGGAAGAAAATCTGGCATGCCTGAGGTCTGAGGAACAAGGGTTGCTTGTTGCCTTTGCCTGCCTTTGGTTGCCTACATGTACACCTAGTCAGTCTGGGTAGATTATCTTCTGACAGTTCTTACCATCTTTCTTGACCTAGGCCAGAGGCATTGATGTGCAGCAGGTCTCCCTAGTCATCAATTACGACCTTCCCACAAACAGGGAAAACTACATCCACAGGTAAATGAAGATCCAACGTACCAAAACTCATTTGCTCAAACTTGCAGGCACCCCTTTTTCACTTTCTTATTCTTTTCTCCTTAGAATTGGCCGTGGCGGTCGCTTTGGCCGTAAAGGTGTGGCCATTAACATGGTGACGGAAGAAGACAAGAGGACTCTACGAGACATTGAGACATTCTACAACACTTCCATTGAAGAGATGCCCCTCAATGTTGCTGACCTCATTTGAGGGGCTGTCCTGCTACCTGGCCATAGCCAGGGTTCAGTCCTGGGGGCTGAGGAACCGCTGGAGGGGGGAGGGAAGGGAGCCAAGGGATGGACATCTTGTTTTTGTTTTTTTTGTTTTTTTGTTTTTTGTTTTTTCTCTCTCTTTGAATAAATGTCACTTTTTGAGGCAAAAAGAAGGAACCGTGAACATTTTAGACACCCTTTTCTTTGGGGTAGGCTCTGCCCCAGGCGCCGTCTCCTCCCCCCCAAAACACTAATCATTTACCTAACCTAGTCACCTGATTCTAAAGGCTTTCTTACCCCGGCCAAGTCTCAAAGTGAGTCAAGGGTCTAAAAGATGTCTGGCCTCATTTGCTGGACCAAATCTACAGGGAGAATCCCTGCGTGAAGTTGTCCAGGGAATTGCTCCCCAGGTCAGGGGAGCAGGGGAGAGAATCTGGTAGCCATTTTTACATTGTTTTGTATAGTATTTATTGATTCAGGAAACAAACACAAGAATTCTGAATAAAATTACTTGGAAACTGCCTGTTTGGGCTTCTTGTTTGTTCCTCTGCCACCTGCTGCTTGTGTGGATCAGCTGTGCTAGTTCCTTACCAGATTTGCTGTGTGTGCTTGCAAATTACAAATGAGGCACGCCTTTAATCCTAGGCAAAGGCAGGTGGGTCTCTGAGTTAAAGGCCATCCTGGTCTGTAAGAGCTAGTTCTAGGCTCTAAAAGCTGCAGAGAAACCCTGTCTTGAAAAACCAAAAAAAATGACCCATTATATTTAAAGTGGTACTGACAGTATTAATGCCCTGTTCTGAACAGAAGGTTAGTCACAAGTGTCAGGTGATTCCAGCTTTGAGGAACTAACAGTAAAGGGGTCAAGGAGTAAGTGAAACTGAGTTCTGCATAGTCATAGCTGAGGCCTAACCCAGATATGGATGCTGATTGCCTGTCTCCTTTGGGTTGGTGGAAGAGGGGCTCCCTCTGTCCTGAAAGTATGGACCAGGTTGGCCTCTAGTGCTGGGTTTGACGGTGGTGCACACAGGTGGGGTTAGATTTTTGACCAATGAGAAACATGCATTTCATGCCTTGTAAATAACCAAGTAGAGCAAGTTTTGCTTAGCTAATATCCTCTTGAGTCAACTGCCTCAATTTTCACGTGGTAACCAAGACTTTGTACCTCCCACTCAAAAGGCCACTGCCAATCACAGCATAGTTGTGAAAGCCAGTGACTAACATGGGAGCGGAGGTGTCTGAGTCAGGTTCGGGGTGGGATTATCTTAGTTAAGGGAAGTACAACTTTCATTTCCTCTTCCAAGAGGATTGAGGAAGAAACTAGCACAGCCCAGCTGGACTCTGAACTATTCTACCATGAGGCTCCAAGTGCTTTGCTTGGTCTCACTGGGACTGCTTGTAGGTAAGGAGAATTGAGAGGTGGGTGGGAGAGAGCTCCTGGGCAGGAACCTCTACCTAGATTGCTAACCAATCTTGCTGAAAGTCCAAGGAGCAGGGAATGACTGCCCTCACAAGAAAGCGGCTACTCTTCTGCCATCCTTCACGGTGACGCCCACAACTACAGAAAGCACAGCAAGCCCTACGACCAGCCACAAGCCCACCACTACCACTCACGGAAATATTACAGTTCATCCAACAAGTAATACTACCAGTTCCGGACCCTCAACTTCCACTCACAACCCTGCCACGACCACCAGTCATGGGAACGTCACAGTTTATCCCACCACAAACAACGGCACTGCTACTAGTCCAGGATTCTCCACCACCACCGGCCCTCACCCTGGACCATATCCACCCTCTCCGAGTCCTCCAGGCACCAAGGGGACTCTCGGAAACTACACATGGACCAATGGCTCCCAGCCCTGTGCTCAGCTCCAAGCACAAATTGAGATCCGAATCCTGTACCCAACCCAGAGTGGAGGAAAGGTAAAGCCAAGGAGCTTACAAGGGGCAAGAGGCAAGTCCTGTTGTCCAGAAGGAGGAGAGCAGAGGTGGGGATAAAAAGGGCCATGCAATTTCAGACTCACTATTCTTTCACTTTTGTAGGCCTGGGGCATCTCTACATTGAATCCCAACAAAACCAAGGTCCAGGGGGGCTGTGTCGGTGCCTCTCCCCACCTGCTTCTCCTATTTCCTGATGGACAGCTCACCTTGGGTTTCAAAAAGGTTAGATCGCTTTTGTCTTCATCCTTTACTCTCCCGTGCCCCATACCCACCCCCTAAGCCTCCCTTCTTGTTCTGTGGACATGATGCCACTATCCCTGCTGCTCTGATCCTTTCTGTTCACCTCAAGGACCTGGAGCACAGCCAGAATATAGTCTACCTCAACTATATGGCCGTGGAATACAACGTGTCCTTCCCACATGCAACACGTGAGTAACCTTCCTTTCTCTTCACCACACTAGCTAGTGTGGAGGGAATGGAGGACTCGGGAGTTGGGAGTGGATTGGATTTGACTCTTCATTACTGACTTCTTCAGAGTGGACCTTCTCCGCCCAGAACTCATCTCTTCAAGAGCTCCAGGCTCCCCTGGGCCGAAGCTTCTGTTGCAGAAATACAAGCATAGTTCTTTCCCCAACTGTCCATCTCGACCTGCTCTCCCTGAGGCTACAGGCTGCTCAGCTGCCCAACACAGGACACTTGGGGCCATGTAAGACCTTCCACCTCTTCCTTCCCAGGGATCTCCCAGCGCTCTCCCCAGAGCTCTCTTTCTACACCCTAGTCATCTCTACAAGACCACCTATGCCCCCTTGCTTACTGCTCTAAGTTATGAAGTTAATTTAGAGCATCATCCATCCCCTGTGTTCTCCCCCCGCCCCCGTCCCCCCAGCAATCCCTGATCGTCCCCTTTTCTCCCAGGCGTCTCCTGCACCGATGACCAATCCCTCTGGCTGCCTCTCATCATTGGCCTGGTCCTCCTTGGCCTCCTTGCCGTCGTGCTCATTGCCTTCTGCATTACCCGGAGACGGCAGTCTGCCTACCAGCCCCTTTGAGCATTGGCTCCCCACAAGGAGCCACCCTCATCTCTTCAGCGTGCCACTGACTCTACTGAGTTATCTTCCTTCCCTATTTTTAAGAACAAAATTGGAGATTTTGTAATGGGGGTAATTAATAAACATAAATGTTATCTTACTCCTGTTCACAAAAACTGAATGAAATCTGTTCTTGGCTTCGCATGCCCTGTCAGGATTAAAAGCCACGAGTTTCTTGTCATGTGCCTTCTTGTGCCTTCCCGTGGTTGACTCACCAGGAGACAGTTGGCAAGAAGGGATGAAAATACCAGAGTGACCAAACACCTTCATGGGTTCATCCTTCTGTGTCTGGCACAGCTGCTGGTGAAGCTGCCAAAACTCCTTTCCTCCCTTCTGGGGCCAATGGCTACCCATTCCCTTAACATAATGGATCAGACTATCCTGGCATCCTGTTCCTGACAAGCTATAGGTACAGCACAGCCAAAACAGGAGTAGGTGGCCGTGTAATTTCATTTCAAAAGTGTGAAGCCAGTGGTTACTGAGCAATGAGAGTCCTACTGTCCATTGTGGTGAGAGCAAGATTCACCGAAGAGCCCACTGCAAAGAACTGCACAACCCACGGTAGCAGTGGGTAGAACAACTTCAGGCCCAGCAAACATACTCTTAATGCCTGGGTACCAGAGGGCAAGGGGGTGATGCCACTTGCAGGGGAGTCCACGACCAGATTCTAAAAATGGACTTCCAGGTGACCACCCACTGAACCAAAATCAAGACTAAGCTTTCCTGTTTTGTTTAAGACAGGCTTTTTCTGTGTAGCCTCGGCAGTCCTGGGGCTCTGTAGACCAAATTCTTGGTGGGCTAGTGCCCCTTGCTGCTGAGAGGTACATGTGGCAGAACCAGCCCAGCACCACCCTCCAATGACAGCCTGAGAGCCAGGCACATCCATCAGAGGAGGGCACGGTGCCAGTGTCCGGGCACTGGGTAGTGGAATGGTGGTGGGTGACCCTAGGTGCCTTTTCCCAAACAAGGGATATTAGGAACCTTTTGCCTGCGCCCTCTGGACCATCCCCAGGGTTCCAGCCTACACACAGCAGAGGCTGCGTGTTGTGTCAGGGGCTGCTCTCCTGTAGCTGAATCTGCTCCTCTTCTACTTCACGGTCATTTTCCAAGACCTGGACAAACCAGAGGAAGAAGCAGGGGACTAGGAGGGATGCCCGGCTCAGAATGGCCTCTCCCCGATGCCATTCTTTCCGGAGAGATCAAGCGGGAAAAATAATAGAGCTGCAGCGCCATTTTGAAGACTCGTATTCTTTTCCTTTCCAACTTCAAATACAAAGTTAGCCGAGAGAAGACAAGATGGCGCATACGCAGGAGGGACGGAGAAAGGCGGAGGGATAAATCTTTCTTTTAGAACTGATAGCCTAAACAAAAGCGCAGAAGTCCTAACTGCGCAGGCGTACAACTCGGACACGCTTTAAAATTCGAACGTCAAGGCGCGCACAAAACGCCGTCGGTGGAGGAGAGCAATCTCGGGTTACCGAAGCAGGGATGGCGGTGGAAGGGGAGGTGCTGCACCGTCCCGGGGAAGAGGCAGCGGGCGAGCGCGCATGCGCGGCGTGGGTAATGGCGGGGCGACCCAGCCTGGCGGAAGCTAGCGTTCCAACATGGCGGGCGAGACGGACGGACTGTTCAAGCGGGTGCTGGTGCCGGTCCTTTTACCTGAGAAATGCTATGATCAACTTTTCGTCCAATGGGACTTGCTTCATGGTGAGTTTTATTCAGCCTTTAAAGTCTAGTTCGAGCAACCCTGGCCGTGAGTTGGTGTGAGCAATACCCGAGTCTGTCACGCGAAGCTGCGCCGGAAGGCGCTTCTGAAGAGGGCGGAAGTGTTCTGGGCCCTGCCTAGGGAAGGTGCCATATTTGGGCATGAGGGGGAGTCGCCCGAAAATATAGTTAAAATTTGTGTTTTACTGTCTGGAAAGTACGTAACCCCCACCTCCCTTTCTGGGCTGATGATCGAATTCAGAGCCTCGGGCGTGCAAGGCAACCACTCTGCCCATCAAGCTCTATCCCCAGCCTGGAGAACTCATATTTTATAAAATAAAATTAAAATCCCAGCCGGGCGTATAGACCTACTTCTTTCATCCCAACACTGAACGTAGACAGATAGACAGACCCCCCCCCCCCCCCCCCGTCTCTCTAAGATGCATTCTCACCTGGCGCTGACTGAACTTACTATGTAGCACAGGCTGCCCTTCCTCGGCCACCAGAGTGCTGGGAATACCTTCCTTTCCCTTTCTTTACAAGGCAAGGCCATGGCCAGGGGTCACACCAGCTGTGGGAGCCTTTGGTAAGGCCCCCTCCATCTTTCTGCTCTGCTCAGGTCACAGATTCAGAGGACACTGTTCTAGCGCGGTTTGGCTTGCAATAGTCAGACTCCTGCTGGGCCAGATTCCCTCCTGGTCAAGGATTCAATGCTAGGGAAACTGCCAGAGCACTGGCCCTCCCTTCCGTTTAATCTCAGCAGAGGCTGGAGGGTCTCTGAGTTCAAGGACAACCTGGTCTACAAGGTGAGTTCCAAGACTGTAGTGACTAGGCAGAGAAACCTTGTCTTGAGAAACCAAAATAAATAAATGATAGATACTAGATGATAAAAGCAAGCCCTGGAAAAGCAGGCTTGGCCACTGAAGAAGGAACAGCCAGAAGATTCAGGAATGTATGCTGTAAAGATTTGCCTTTGAAAGGAGACCATTTGAAGAGAAAGGAAAAGGTCAGGGAACTCTTGAGCAATTCCTGTTTTCAATTCCTGAAAAGCAATGGCGGTCATGCCTGGGCGGCTATGTTTGTGTGGAGCTGGTGAAATGGCTGCAAGGCTGGTGACTGGAGTTCAATCCCTGGACCTGCAGAAAGGCAGAACAGAACTGGCTCCAGAGTTGTCACCTGAGCATCACACACACCTTTTGTGTCCACACACAGCGTCACACACACCTTTTGTGTCCACACACACTTTTTGTGTCCACACACAGTGTCTATAGATACAGACCTGTGAATGCAGGGACCTGAAGATGCTCGAGACACAAGAAATCACTGGAACTGGAGTTACAGACATTTGTAAGCCACCCAGCATGGGTGCAGGGACTCCGACCCCTTCACCTTTGTTGTGTGCATCTACTTATGCACACCCAGGTTATCAGACTTAGCAGCAGAGCTATCTTGCTGGCACAATATTATTTTTGTTCTGTGTGCATTGGTGTTTTGCCTGTGTGTATGTGTGTAAGAATGCCAGATCTTCTGGAATTGGAGTTTGGCAGTTGTGAACTCCATGTGGGTACTGGGAATTGAACCTGAGTCTTCTGGAAGAGCATCCAGTGCTTTTAACAACTGAGCCATCTCTCCAGCCCTTATTTTTTTGAGATGGTTCCTACAGACTTGACTGTCCTAGAACTCACTATGTATGTTGTGGCTTTGAACTCACAGAGATCTGTCTGGGATTAAAGGCGTGTGCCACCAGACCTGGCAATAGTTTTTAAAGACAGGGTCTCACTATGTAACCCTGACTGGCCTTAAATTCACAGAGATTAAATGAGATTACAGACATGCACCACAACACACTGTCCTAATGATTTACTTATTTATTATATATACAGTGTTCTGCCTGCATGTATGCCTGCAGGCCAGGAGAAGGCACCAGATCTCATTGTAGTTGTAAGCAATCACGTGGATCCTGGATTGAACTCAGGTCATTAATTATCTCGATGTGTGTTTGTAGGAAATAGAAGGTTGGGCAGGAGGAAAGGCGTTCAGGTAGAAGCTGCTTTGGCAGCATACCTAATCTGGATGTAAGATGTTTGTAGCAGGAAGGCTTCCTGCCCCATATTTCCACTGTCCCCCATACAGGGACTTACTGGTGTGGTGGCCATGCCAAGGGTGAGGGGAGAGGGAACAGCTTACGAGAACACTTCAAACCCTCACCTGGGTTCCAGAGACCTGTTTGCTTACTTTCTTCTCTCTTCTTAGTTCCCTGCCTCAAGATTCTCCTCAGCAAAGGCCTTGGGCTGGGCATCGTGGCTGGGTCACTCCTGGGTATGTATATATAGTTTCTTCCTTCTGTTAGAGTAAAGGTGGGGTGTTGAGAGGCTAATGCCAAGGGCTCGGAATAGTATGCTTCTTCCCCAGCCATGCCCTTCTTCCCCCCAGTAAAGCTGCCCCAGATCTTTAAAATCTTGGGAGCCAAGAGTGCCGAAGGACTGAGTCTCCAGTCAGTGATGCTGGAGCTCACGGCGTTGACTGGAACTGTGGTCTACAGCATCACCAACAACTTCCCCTTCAGGTGAGGGTCCCACTCCTCACCCCCAAGGCCAAGTTGTTACTTATTTACTGGGGAGCAGGGAGTGCTCAGAGGACAACTTGAAGGAGCTGGTTCTCTTCTTCCAGTGTGGATCCCAGGCTGGAACTCAGGCAAGCACCTTAGCCTGCTGAGCTCTTCTCCAGCCCTAGTGCCCACAGTAAGCTAATAAGGGCTACAGCCCTCGCAGAAGTGTAGTCAGTGAGCCAGGTTTGGGGGAGGTGGGGGAGCACAGGCCTGGTGGATGGCTATGGAGGCTTTCCCCGCCTCTTTCCAGGCCTGCCTTTTCCCTCCCAACTCTTGACTCTGCAGCTCTTGGGGTGAAGCACTGTTCCTGACACTCCAGACAATTGCCATCTGCTTCCTGGTCATGCACTACAGAGGAGAGACCGTCAAAGGTGTGGGGAATTGCTGGAGAGCAGGCGTGGATCTTGGGAATCTTGTTGGGGACTCAGGAGGTTCAAGAGGGCTCCTTGTCTCCCTGACCCTTAGGCGTTGCTTTCCTTGCCTGCTATGCGATGCTCCTCCTGGCGCTGCTCTCCCCACTCACGCCTCTGGCTGTAGTCACCCTGCTCCAGGCCTCCAATGTGCCTGCTGTGGTGGTGGGGAAGGTGGGTACTCCGTGTGAAAGGATGTGTGTGCTGTGTGCTAGAGGCAGAATGGAACCTCAAAGTGTGGACTCTTAGTCTGGGGGAATGGGGCATTAGTGATGGGAACACAGGGGAGTTCAGGTGACAGAACCAAAAGTATGAATTTCTCTAGTTGCTCCAGGCAGCCACCAACTACCATAATGGGCACACGGGCCAGCTTTCTGCTATCACAGTGTTTATGCTGTTTGGGGGCTCTTTGGCCCGAATCTTCACTTCTGTTCAGGTGAGTGCACCTTCTGTCCTCTAGAGGGCACTAAAACCTCATATGCCCAGCTGAGTAGTGAGCTGCTCCCTCTGGAACCTTTCTAGATCTGTGTCTCTCCTAAACAGGAAACTGGAGACCCCCTCATGGCTGGAGTCTTTGTGGTCTCTTCCCTCTGCAATGGCCTCATTGCTGCCCAGGTCCTCCTCTACTGGAATGCAAAGCCTCCCCACAAACAGAAAAAGGAGCAGTAGTGTGGGGGCAGCTTCCAGAACCATTCCATTCCATTCGGCCACTACCTTCAGGTCCCCCCACATGACCTGGTCTGCTGGTACAGCTTAATCATCCTCCATTCCACTGTAACTGCAGCCTCCTGAGCCAGGGTTCGCGTAAACAGCATGCACTCGTTTCAGCAGGGGCTGAGGCTGCCTTTATAAGCAGCTGTCTTCTTATTGGAGCAGTGTCGTGCCTTGTCCACTTACCTTTCTTCTGGGCAGAGGACAAAGCCTGGACAAATGTGTTTGGCAGCTTGTGGCTGCTTCCCTCTGCCACCTGGCTGGGATAATCTATTGGACCCCAGTTCTGGAGGGAGGGGAGGGGAGGGGAGAATGACTCAGACAAGGGCCTCAGGGTGGGGTGGGGAGGCTCCTGCTGTGGCAGGTCCAGACGGAAGGGTGTGGAGAAGACACCGGCTGCTGCTGAAATGAGAATACAGGTGGGACAATAAAGACTCAGAGACGGGCTTTCATTGTACAAAATCGTGTTTAGTATGGATCTGTGCATTCTGCTTTCTTGGGAGACTTGTAGGCCTCCGAACTGGAAAGGGATGGGTCTGTGGGGTTGGCCCCAGATATCTCTGCCAGTTAAAGGTGGGTTACAGACATGGGGCACCAGCAAGGGAAGTACTGTATGGAGTGGTAGAGCCTGGGGATAAGTAGGTGGGAAAAGAGGGCATTAGCTCCCCCTGGAGCCTAGGATCACTCTGAGGGAGGGAGCATGGCGAGGGGGCCTCCGGTCTACAATGGGAAGAGCTGTAGAGAGAAACATGGGGTTTGGAGGTTACACTTCTGGGTTGGAGAGACTGGGCAGTATCCCCAACTCAGTAGGAGACTGGTCTGACCAGTTTGCAGTAGACAGGGTTAGAATTTGCTATTGAGCCAGCCATGCTGGGTACAGCAGGCATGGAACAAGACCCTAGGATGGCTTAAAGAGCAAGGTAGCTCTGTTGGGGCACGCTTGGGAGCTGTCTTGCGTGCTGCATGCTGTTTGCCTCTTGGGGCAGCAGGCCAGGAAGGAGCAACAGGATGGGCTTGGCCTCTCCTTGCCCCGGGGGCTGGGAGAGGAAGCCGGGTCACACAAGGGCCATCAACAGTGGAGAAAACGGACATTCAGAAAGTAGAATACATTATCCTGAGATGGACAAGCCTCTGTCTTGAATTCTCTGAGGTCTCCCACCCAAAAAGCCTGGTGTGGCTTCTGCTTGAAGGGACTGGCGGTCTCCCAACTTAGCCCTCTGGCTTTCATCCCCACCCAGCCTTCAGGAAGGGGAAGTGCAGGGTGGTGGGGAGGACAATCAGGCACTCACGTGTAACTGCCAGGCAAGTAGGCTGTTGAATAGTTGGGAGGCTGGTACCCAAAGCCTCTGCTCCCTTGGGTAGTTGTGTACCCTGGCCCCCAGTGCGGGCCACCACAGGCCAGGCTGCCTCCTCCCTGGCAGAAGTGGACAGACCCGGTGCCCGAGTTCTTGCTCTTGCGCCGAGGCCGGTACTTGTAGTCGGGGTAGTCGCGTAAGTGACGGGCTCGTAGACGCTTGGCCTCCTCCACGAAGGGACGCTTCTCTTCGTCGTCCAGCAGCTTCCACTGTGCGCCCAGGCGCTTCGAGATCTCTGAGTTGTGCATCTTGGGGTTCTGCTGCGCCATCTGGCGGCGCTGAACAGAGCTCCATACCATGAAGGCGTTCATGGGCCGCTTCACCTTCTCCAGCGGAAGCCCCCCAGACGCTCCTGGTCTCCCGGCACCCTCCTGCTCCTGAGGTCGCAAGGACAAAGAGGCTGTGGGAACCGGATGCTCCAAGCTCCAAGTCTGGGCTTGTGAGGAGCCGGGCAGCGCCATGGGTTGAAAGTAAAGCGTCTTTAAGAGGGCGTCTTGAATGCCCTCCTCCCAGAGTGAAGAGTGAACTCTGAAAGTCTGGGTACTTAAGTATCTTCCAGAGTCCTTGACTCGAACCTTTGCTCCCAGGAGTGGATTCGTCACCTCTGGAAAGCTGAATGCCGAATCCTTGTCTGTCACCCCTGTCCTGAAGAGGTTGTGTTCTCTCAAGTCTAGCTACTGCCAGTCCCTCTCCCTACCCTCTGCTGGGGCGGGACGGAGTCTTCCGTGGAGGCTGCAACTCAGTGAGGTTCTTGGTTTCCAAAGCTCCCACAGCTGCCGGGAGGGAACCCAGGTGCCACAGAACTTCCCCACCTGCTCAGTCTCGGTGGAAACGGCTCTGAAAGTCCGACTCCTCCCCCAATCCCTCCCAGAGGCTGTGCTGTCCTGACACACACAAACTCAGGTGTCCCAATCTTAGCAGCCCAGACACCTCCCCTGGGGCACCACGCCCCCTCTCCACCCAAGGTCTGGATGTCATGCCTAATGGCCCCAATGGCTAAATTGTCAACTTTTTATCAGCAATTTGAAGCAAATTCCTTTCCTTGGTGGGATCAAGTTTGAGCATCAAATGCCCCCAGGGTCACTCCCTACTCAATACCTTTTCCGGTGCCTGTTGCTCCTCAAATCCTGAACTGCCCCAGGGGTAAGAAACTCAAAGAAGATAGGCCATTTTTGTTTTCTGAGTCATCCCAGCAGGTGCCTGGGCAGATGAGAACACTCAAGCCACTTCCAGCCCTGAGACTTCCCCACTGCCACTCAATTACCGCAAGTTTCATCTCTAAATTCAAACCAGGAGCCAAAGGACTCTGGACCAGAGATACCCCCCCCCCGCCTTTTTTTGTTGGTGGTTTTGTTTGTTTTTAAGACAGGGTTTCTCTGTGTAACACTTCTAGCTGTGTCCTGGAACTTGCTTTATAGACCAGGCTGACCTCAAACTCAGAGATTCGTCTGCCTCTGCCTCCTGAGGGCTAGGATTAAAGGTTTGTACCACCACTCCTGGGTCCTCTGAGCTATCTTTACTGCCCTGATGTATACTTTTTTTTTTTTTAAATGTCTTTGAGACAAGGACTGCACCATATAGCTCTGGTGTTGCATGCCTTCACTCTCAGTACTTGGGAGGCAGAGACAGGTAGATGCCCAATCCACGAAGCAAGTTCCAGGACAACCAGGGCTACACAGAGAAACTCTGTCCTGAAAAACAAACAGGATGTATCAGGTACTCAGGAGGCAGAGGCAGATGGATCTCTGCCTTCCAAGTACTGAGAGAAAAGGTATGCAACACCATCACCTGGACATATTTATTATGTATACAGTGTTCTGCCTGCATGTATCCCTTCAGGCCAGAAGGCGGCACAAGATTTCATTATGGAAGATTGTGAACCACCATGTGGTTGCTAGGAATTGAACTCAGGTCCTCTGGAAAAGCAGCCAGAGCTCTTAACCTCTGAACCATCTCTCCAACCCCTGATAAATATTTAAGGATCTAAGTTCACTACATTTTAAGGTCATGGCTTCTCTGTCAAGGTATTCAGGGACACTCTCTTTAGCATCACCTTCAACCCTCAGTGTACTGTCCAACATAGGTCTGGAGTCTCCCAACTCTATAATGATACCTCTTCACCCTTGAGACCCCAAAAGCTAAGGTCAAGGATGTGGATTCTGGAGTCAGAGCAACACCAGGCCAGAAATACATGCTGACCCTCCTGGGTTCTAGAGGCCAGAGAAAACCCTATTTTCACCTTTGATGAAGGCCCAGCCTGTGCCCCGGGCCCCAGATAATCCGATTAAATAGCCTGCCCAGACTCTCAGCTCCTAGCAGGAACAGATCCAGCTTCACACAGCCCTGCCTAGCCTCCTGTGACTCAGGGCTTAGGAGTGGCCAAACTATCAAGCAACCAATGGGGGGGGGGGCCCCCACAGCAAGGCCTGAAGCACAAACCTCTGGACCAGAAGAATAACTAGGTATGGAGAATTAAGTATGCAGCAACTTCCAGAATATCATCTTTCTGACATAGGATGAGAAGCTAAGAATAAAGAATAAAGAACAAAAGCAAGCCAGAGACCAGTGCAGGTCAGTCCTAGAGATCCAAACAGACCAGACTGGGTACAAAGAAGGCATGGGAACCACAAGGCCATTGGATTTTTTTATTCTCTTTTTAAATACTGTACAGTGAAAAATAAATACGCCTTCTCATCCACCAGACAAGGTTATCCCCCAACTCCCTCGGGGACCTTGTCACCCCCCTTCATACACACCCCTGGTTCTACTCCAAAACCTTCCCCATGCCTCCCACCCACAAATACCCTCACTATCCCCGTCTTCCACAGTGATGAGGCCCCAGAAATGGGGGGTACAGGATGGGAGGAGGGATAGCAGGGAAGCCCCCCTGAACTGTCAAATCTGGGTGGGTCATGGAGCACCCCCACCAACAGGCGGAGAATGGGGGTGTTCAGAGGTCGGGGCATTAGAGGATAAAGGCACATCCAGTCTGATAGGGAAGGGGAGGCTCCCCTCACCCTGGGGGTAGGTTGGACAAGAGGGAGGGGGTATGACCCTGTTACACACCCCTCCACTAGCTCCTGAAGGTTGGGGGGGGGACCCAAGCTGCTGTGCCACCCCCCACCCCCGTAGATAAGAGCAGCTCCAGCGCAGGTCAGTTGGACCCATGAGGGCCATGGTGGTGGGCAGCAAGCGAGATGGAGAAAGGAGGGATGTGGACTGGAGGTTTTATGAAACCCCATTCACCAAACTACCCAACTCCAAGGGGGCAGAGAGCTCCCCATTCTCCGAGGGGCCCTTGGGAAGCTTGCTGACAGAGTCACCCTGAGGAGGAAGCAGGAGGAAAAGAAAGCAGTTCATCAGTACACCAGGTGTGGGCACTCCTCACTACTGATTCACCTGTGCTCTAGTCACTGTGAGCCTTGTCTTCTGTTCATGCCAGCTCTGCTCTATCCTCAGCTTAACCTGAACTCCACCAGATACAGCTAATTCAACATCTCAGATATTTCCTAGGGAAGTTTTCTGTTGTCCCTGCTCCAGAATCAAAAAAAGAATAGGATAAGCTGTATCATGACTGCCTACCTTCTGTCCTGAAAGAGATTCCTCTGAGGGTTTCGTACGTTCCAGAGGTGGCCGCTGGCGGCTCTGAGACTCTGCCCGTGAGATATAGTCTGCCACAGTCACTAGGAAAGGCAGAAAGGATTGAGACTTTCAGGAACACAGGTCTCCATCTCCATGGTTCTCACTGAACCCAACCCTGGTTTTCCTAGAGCAGGAGGCATCCCATTCTTAGCTCCTGAAAGGCTCCAATCCCACAGTGTCAGCTGACCTGGTTGGCGGTCTCCGCTGATGGACCCATCTGTTCGATTACCACGATTGCGGCGGCGGCGGCTCCGATTACGTCGCTGGGGTCTTGATTCATCTTCTGTGGAGTAAAGAAAAGTCATACACCCATCCTCTTCATTCTTTCTCACAATATCTATAAGAACCCAGGCTTGCTCCTCACCCAGGCCATTCTCTGTCATGTTAGGACCATCAGACTCCAGGCCGCCATCCATGACAGTTCTGTCTTCATCAGTACGACGGCGGCGGGAACGGCGACGACGGGCACTTGCTGGAGGGGGTTCACCAGGCTCTGAATCAACTGGGGGCTCTGGTTCAGATGTGTCCAATAGGCTGTAAGGATTACTGTCTGGATCCTTTAGCACTGATGATGACAGGACAGAAAGGGACTGGGAGTCAGGTGACCACTATTTTCTCCTTTGAGCCCACAAACATGACCCTTCCCCCCAGCTCTGATACCTGAGCTAATAGATGATGAGTTGTATCTTGAGGTAGGCCGGGGAACAGGTGGGGGTCCCCTTCCCCGGCCCCCAATTGGCCGCCTCCGGCTTTCTTCTCCACGGCTTGGGGGCTCTCGGTCACCGGGTCCTGCTCGATTAGGCTCCTCTCTTTTTTCTGACTCAGTCTCAGAAGCTGTGGATGGGTCTGAGCTGGGGCCTGAAGGGCACAGACAGGTTTAATCAGATCCACTGGTCTTACCCTGGGAGTTTCACCACTTCTTCCAAACTAGAATTCTTCCTATCACTCTTAAATACTCAAGTCACTGCTTTCCCTGAGTCTCCACCCAAACATCCACCTCCTCCACTGTCCCCACAGCTGTCTCACCATAGGCAGGACCACCAGTCCTCCGGCCCCGGCCCCGGCCCCCATAGCTGCCCCCATATGTTCGGGTCGTGTGCAGGGAAGAGGAGGAGCTCTCATCTGTGGTATAGCCAGCCTTGTCACTGCCACCACCGCCACCCCGTCCACTCCCAGGAGGGCGAAAGCCCAGCCCAATCTGCCGAAGCTGTTCATCAATCTGCAATCTCTCTAAGCGAAGCTGTTCAACCTCCTGGTTGGAAAGAAGACAGACAACACAGGAGAATTAAAATGAGTGGACAGTCCACTTCCTTCATGCTTTTCTCTCCATATGGTCCCTGTGTAACTAAGCTTTTGGGACTACAAGAAGAAAGACAAAACATTAAAGAGAATAGGATACAGCCCCAGAGCCAAAATATGAACTAACGGTGCTGTTCTGCAAAAAGACAAACCATGCAGGACAGCTCCAAAGATTATATACTAGCAGCCCTTGCCCCCTTTTCACCCCATTTTGTCTGACATGGGTACCTGCAGGTAGGAGAGGTGGTACTCTAGCAGTGCCTGGGCATTGCTGATATTCTCTCGGGTGCCAACAAATATGAAGGGAACCATTCCCTAGAGAACAGACCAGAACAAAGATTAGAAGTCAGTTAGGTGTGATGGCACACATAATCCTTAGGACTCAGGAGACAGGGGCAGCAGGAATTCAAAGTCATCCTTAGTTACACAGTAAAGTTAATTAAGTTCAAACACAACCTAAATAAACTATATGAGGCTCCGTTTCAACAACCCCCGCCCCTAAAGGTGCCAGGCATGGTGGCACAAGTCTTTAGTCCCAACCCTAGGGAGGCAGAGGCAGGCAAATCTCTGTGAACTGAGTTTAAGGCCAGCCTGGTTCACAAAGTAAGTTCCAGGCCGGCTAGGGCAAAATAAAAGAAAAAAGAAAATCAGAAAAGATTAAAATGTTAGAAGAAGAAAAAGAAAATCAGAAAGGAAAAGATTAAAATGTTAAGTCCACTCCTCAAATAGACAACAGGATCACAGTCTACTAGGGCAAACAAAAGGTTCTGTGTTCTCCCATCTACAAGTCCCCAGGCCCCATACCTCCTCCCTGGGGTTCTTCTTGTCGTTGTCACCTTCCACACGCACCCTCACCACACCAGACTTGTCCACGATCTCCTGGATCACTTTCCCATTCTTCCCAATCACTTTGCCTAAGTGGATAAAGGAGGAATTAGGCTTTCATTTTTTGTTGTTACTGTTAAGGAAATACAAGTCAAAGTCTTCTTCTTCTATAGTCACTTCTCATTATATATATTGCATGTAATTCATCTTCCTGCTTCTAGGAATCTCATAACCAAAACCCTTCCAGGATAAAAATGCTACAATCCCAAAAATATATCATTGCCTTTTCTCATTTTTATGTCAGACTCTTTATCCCATCCTTATGAAACCAGAAGTCCACAGAGTAGCACCAATCCTAATTACATACCCAAAATTGTCTTCAAGACCTTGCCACCTGGGCCCTAATTATTCCTTTTTATACACACACCCAAACTCACCAACCAGGTTCCTGGGCACTTGTACAGAATCCTCAGAAAATTCCAGGTAGCTTCGAGCTTGTCGGCATGCCTCAGGTGTCTATAGAAAAAGTAAACTAAAATAGAAACTGGATCTCTGTCATTTTCTGACTTTGGAGATGTAAGCTACTACCAAAGTCTGGCAGGAAGGTTACCACAGATTTGCTTTCCACCTTATCTCTATCCCCTCAGTCCCCCAAAGGACCCAAAAGAGCAATCTTCGGCTGACCTCCCCATAGATGCGGAAAGTGCAGGTCTCTTCACCCAACTCAATGGCAGTCACTCCTGGCACTTTTCGGGCCTGCTGGATGTTGGCACCATGTGTCCCAATTGCCAGACCCATCAGGTCCTCTCTCACTGTAAACTCCTCTTGGAACGCTGCTGCCAACTGCTTACTTGTCTAAGAGGAAAAGACACTGTGAGATCATGGTGGTGGAATCTCAGAAGATGCGTCCCAGGTGGCTAATCCTCTGTCCTGCATTTGGGGGGGGGGGGGGGAATTCTTTTTTCCTTTTTGGTTTTTGAGACCAGGCTTCTCTGTAGCTTTGGAGCCTGTCCTGGAACTCACTCTTGTAGACCAGGCTGGTCTCAAACTCACAGAGATCCACCTGCCTCTGCCTCCCAAGTGCTGGGATTGAAGGCATGTGCCACCACTGCCCAGTTGTGTGTGTGTGTTGGGGGGTTCTTTCTTTTTTCTTTTTCTTTTTTTCCCTTTGGTTCTTCAAGAGCAGGTTTCTCTGTAGCTTTGGAGACCAACAGGCCTCAAACTCACGGAGATCTGCCTGTGTCTGCCTCCCAAGTGCTGGCATTAAAGGTGCGCACCACTACCTCCCTGGCTTCTTTGTATTGTTTAAATAAGAAAAAAAAAAGGTATGAAGAAAACCAGAACCACCTGTGATCTGCTAGCCACTGAACCCTGCACAGAAATCTCACACCTTTAAATACCAGGGCTTATGGGCAGTTATTAACTAATGAGGGCAGTTTGAGCTAGAAATCACCAAAGTTCTAGATTTGGTTCTAACACTAACTGGTTGAATAGTTCTTAACAAGACACACTCTCTGTTCTACCATCTGACAAGTCCCTACAGCTGGCCTATTCACTCTGATGTTACTAAAAATAGTATTCCTCTTTTGAGCCCTTCTCACTCTCAGTTGTTCTCATTTTCATTAATAAAGCAATGGTTATTCTGCTTTAAAAGAGAGCAACAAAGCCAGGTGGTGGTGCCACACACCTTTAATCATAGCATTTGAAAGGCAAAGACAGGCAGATCCTAGAGTTCAAGGCCAGCCGGGGCTACAGAGCGAATTCCAGGACAGCCAGGACTACAGAGAGAATACGGTCTTGAAAAACAAAAAGGGGTGGGAAAAAAAAAAGGGGGACTAGCAAGAGGGTTAGACAAGGCTGACATCAAAGTGGTTTTCTTTTTTTTTTTTTTCTTGGCTTTTTTGGAGACAGGGTTTCTCCAAAGTGGTTTCTTAAAATTCTTATTTTTTTTTTCTCTGTAGCTTTTGGTGCCTGTCCTGGAACTAGCTCTTGTAGACCAGGCTGGCCTCAAACTCACGGAGATTTGCCTGCTTCTGTCTCCCGAGTGCTGGGACTAAAGGCATGTGCCACCACTGCCCGGCAGTTCTTTTAAAATTCTTATGTGCAGAGGCTGGAGTAGAAAGATGGGATTAAGAGCACTGGCTGCTCTTCCAGAGGACCTGAGTTCAATTCCCAGCACTCACAGGGCAGTTTACAACTGTCTGTAACCCCAGTTCCAGGGAGTCTAAATTAAAAAGAAAAAACTTAAAGAAAAAAATTCTAATGTGCATGAGTGTTTGCCTGCATGCTCCAGGCCCACGTTCAATCCCTGGCATCAAAAACTCCTGGACAGGAGTAAATATAATTAAAACACTGTAGAAAATAATTAAATGAATAAATCGCTGGTCATAGGCAGATCAAGGCCAGCCTGTTCTACACAACAAGTTCCAGGCCAGTCAGAGCTACACAGACCCTGTCTCAAACACCAAAATAAGTTGCCTTTGAGTGCTTGCTACACATATCTTTTACCATTTACATGATCAAATTCTTGCTGTTTTGACTTAAAATTTATCTATCTACCAGTATTTTCGAGGTAGGGTTTCTCTGTGCAGCTTTGGTGCCTGTCCTAGAACTAGCTCTTGTAGACCAGGTGCATCGAAATCACAAAGATCCGCCTGTCTCTGCCTCCCAAAAGCTGGGATTAAAGGTGTGCACCACCACCACCCAGTTAAATTTATTTTATGTATATGAGTGTTCTGTTTGTACTCTGTGTACCATGTACATGCTTGTTGCTCCACAAGGCCAGAAGAGGCATCAGCTCCCTGGAATGAGTTAAAGATGGTTATGAGCTGCTCGTACAAACTCAGGGCCTCTGCAAGAGCAACTGGTGCTCTTAACTCTCTAGCACCAATTATAGGCACATGTCACTATGCACAGCTGTTCAGTTCTTCTTTAGATGTGGTCTCACTATGCTGGCCTTGGACTAAGGCATTCAAGCAGTGTTCCTGCCTCTCCTGGGTAGAGTCTACTGTTTTACCCATGGCTTCTCATACTCTAGGCAAATGCTGTACCACTCAGCTATAGCCCTAACAGTTATTGTCAGTGGCTGAGAACTTGCCTAAAGAACAGAAGGCCTTAGATTTAGTACCCAGCAAAGAAAAATAAAAGGGGGGAGGGGGTAGGGAGTGAATAAGAAAAGAGGTATTAGCTAGGTACAGAGGCACAGACCTTTAATCCTTGCCCTGGGAAGGCAGAGACATGTAGATCTCTGAATTTAAGACAAATCTGGTCTATATAGCAAGTTCCAGGCAAGCCAAGGTTACATAGTGAGACTATGTCTAAAAACAAAACAAAACAAAAACAAACAAAACCAAAATAAAAAAAGTACAAGAATGTAAGGAGTAACAAGCATCAATAAAACAAAGGCAAGCTTTCCTTTTGTCCTTTCTTTTTCTTTTTCTAAAGACAGGGTCTCTCTACATAGCCCTGATAACCTCGGCTGTTCTGGAACTCTTTATGTAGAGATTCACCTACCTCTTCCTCCAACTGCTGGGATTAAAGGTATGAAAACAAGTGCACATATCCTCCTGCTTCCATCTCCCAAATGCTGGGATCACTATGTCAAGTTTACACTGTGCTGAGCAAGCACTTCGATTATTAGAAGCATGTTACCATAGAAAGTGAAAGCCAAGGTCTAGGAGAAAAGAATATTCTACCTTTGTTAAAATCTGCTTATGGGGCTGGAGAGTAAGTTAGGTTAAGTCTTGCAGAGGACCCAGGTTTTATTCGCAGCATCCATTAGGCATCTCACAACCACCTTTAACTTCAGTCCCAGGGGATCTAATGCTCTCTTTCTGACCTCTACAGATATAGACACCACGCATGCATAGAGGCAAAACATCCATACACATAAAGTAAAATAAATCTTTTGTTGTTGCTGTTGTTGTTTTTTGAGACAAGGTTTCTGTGTCATGGAACTTGCTTTATAGACCAGGCTGGCCTCAAACTTATAGAGATCTGCCTCCCTCTGCCTTCCAAAAGGCATGTGTCACCTCACCAAGCAAAAAAAGAAAGAAAGAAAAATATATATGCCACCTCACCAAGCAAAAAAATAAATAAGTAAAAAAAAAAGAAAAAAAATATATATATGACTTAATATATATATGACTTAATCATTTATGCACTTTATGTCTGCATTTGTCTAACAGAAGAGGGCATCTGATCCCATTAAACTACAGTTATAGATTTATAGAGCTACCACGTGGGTGCTGGGATTTGAACTTGGAATCTCTGAAAGAACAGTCAGGGGACTGGGAGATGGCTCAGTGGTTAAGAGCACTGACTGCTCTTCCAGAGCACCCGGGATCAATTCCCAGCACCCACATGGCAGCTCACAACTGTCTGAAGATCCAGTTGCAGGGTATCTGACACCTTCACACCAACGCACATAAAATAAAGTTAAATAAACCATAAAAAATATTTTAAAAAAAAGTCAGTACTCTTAACTGCTGAACCATCTCTCCAGCACTGGCAAAATCAATCTTTAAAAAAAAAGAAAAAAAAGAAAAAAAAAGGAAAACTCTACTCATTTGGGACTGACAAAAACATGTGGATCAAGCGGAAGGAAAGGTGACTTTTCATCAACCAGTTCCTTCAGTAACAGCCCTGAAGACTGGAATAATGCACAATTTGTGCTATCTCAAAGAAAAGCCCCCCAAAAGGGTCAGTTCACTTGATAAATGGAATTAGAGATCCAATTCAATCAAAACATACCCATACCCTATACTCATTTAGAATGATTTAACAGCCAGGCATTGGTGGTGCACACCTTTAAATCCCAGCACTCAGCAGGCAGAGGCAGGTGGGTCTCCCTGAGCTCGAGGCCAGCCTAGTCTACACAGAAAATTCCAGGACAGCCAGGGTTGTTACACAGAGAAACCCTGTTTCAAAAACAAAACAAATAAAAAGAGTGATTTAATTATTCTGAAAAGGAAACTTGTAATTATAGAATGTCAGAACTCAAAACCTTGTAGCAGAGTTGAGGGTGTAGTTCATTAGGAGACCTGCTTAGCAAGTAACAGACCCTGTGTTCTATCCTCAGGTCAGGAGAAAAAAAATTGTGGGTTGCAGGTTCAGCTGATAGAGTGTTTGCTTAGCAAGCATGGAGCTCTGGGTTAGAGCCAGATCCCAGCACTATGACAAACAGGAGTATTGGTCAGACCTATAATCTGAGCACCAGGAGGATAGAGAAAAATGATCAAAAATTTTTTAAGGACATCTTGGCTACATAACAAATTTGAGACCAGTCTAGGATACAAGAGACCCTACGTTAAACAAAAAAACAGCTGGGCAATGGTGGTCAAAGGCAGGTGGACCTCTGAATTCAAAGCCAGCCTGGTTTACAGAGCTAGTTCCAGGAAAGCCAGAGCTCAGAGAGGAATTGGAGAGAGAGGAGAGAGACAGACAGACAAAACCAAGCTGGGCATGGTGGTACACACCTTAGATTCCAGCATTTTAGAAGCAGAGGCATTTGAGTTTGATGCTAGCCTGGCCTGCAGAGTTTCAGGCAAGCTAAGGAGACCAGTGAGATCCTGTTCCAAAGCAATATTGCCAGGCAATGGTGGTGCATGACAATACTTGGAAGACAGAGGCAGGAGGATCTCAAGGTTTGGCCATCTTACTTTATATAGCAAGTTTCAGGACAGCCAAAGCTATATAATAGAGAAACCCTACCTCAAACATAAACAGACAGATGATAGGCAGAGAGACAGACAGACAATGTGTACTTTTGGCCAGATATAGTGGCTATCTTTTTAATCCGAAACTCGGGAGACAGAGGCATATGGATCTCTGTGAGTTTGTGGTCAGCCTGGTCTACAGAGTAGGTTCCAAGACAACCAGAGCTACACAAAGAGAAACCCTATCTTGAAAAGCAGAAAAAAGCCAAGCAGTGTCTTTAATCCCAGCACAAGGCAGGCAGATCTGTGAGTTCAAGGCCGGGCTGGTCCACACAGCGAGTTGCAGAACAGCCAGAGGTACACAGAAACCCTGTCTCAAAACAAACAAACAAAAAACAGAATAGAACACTGTCCTCTGGAGAGTACGAGATAAAACTGCCAATCCAGTAGCCTTTGTCTATCTTTCAGAAACACAAGATGAAAAAGCAAAGCACATTATTCAGCATGAGTAAAAGCAGCCAAAACTTGCCTCTAGGTGCTTGGTAGCTTCTTCATTGCGGGACATAAGCAGCAATTTGGTGCGAAGGCTTCGAAAATGCATATCACCCAGCAAAGACGCCCTCTTCACAGGGGCTTCTGTGGTTGACTGGAAAGAAATGAGTAAAAAGTCTTACAAACAAAATACACTCCAGGGAGCATCAGAGTCTGGACACCAGAATGCCAGTATCCTGCAAAGAAGGCAGGTGTCAAGAATGAAGTTCAGTCGGCCATGGTGGTGGCCAAGAGGCAGAGACAAGTGGATCTCCGTGAGTTTGAGACCAGCCTGGTCTACAGAGTGAGTTCCAGGACAGTCAGGGCTACACAAAGAGAAACCCTGTCTTGAAAAGTGGAAAAAAGCTGGGCGGTGATGGCACATGCCTTTAATCTCAGCCCTCGGGAGGGAGAAGGGAGATCTCTGTGAATTCAAGGCCAACCTCGTCTACAAAGCTGAGTCCCAGGACAGCCAAGGCTACACATAGAAAGCCTGGCTCAAAAAAACAGC